CTAGTCATCACAATCTAGCACCCTGGCTAGCTATATGACAGTGGTTACATATTTGGATTTACGTTACTTCAAACAATTCGGACAGCACCGCGATTCCCGGAAGGAGGAAGACCAGAAGGCTCTGTGGCCAGCCGACCCTATCATGATGCATGATAGGGAAATGCAAGGAAGGGCGGAACGACATACGACACATGTCAGCCAAAATGGACGTAGAGATCATCCGAGTCTCAGAGAGTCTCGAAGCCCGGGCTACCCTGAGCTCTCAAACAAACGTGGAGTTCACAGAGGGCGTCGGATTTCCGTAGGACAGAAGAACCATACATACGAGAGTCACTCGCATCATTCCAATCGCCGACACTCCTCTGGCCATCCAAGGTACCACCACCACCAACCACTCCAGCAATACCACCACCAACACCGACATCACCAACAACAGAACCAACGACAGCAACATCACCACCGACACCATAGGAGAACTAGCAGTCAAAGAAGATACTACGAAGAAAGGCTGCAAGTCAGTCCACCGAGATACCCCACAGAGAGCCTGTTGGATTATTATTCGAACTAAGAACAAAGCACTACCGCAGGAGTTGGCTTCATAGAGCTTTGGCTAGCATTAAAACATACAGGGAGGGGGAAATGAGTCAGGCTTGCCATTTTCCTAAAAAGCAGACATGTAGATATCGATATTAATACGACCATAAGAACAATCCAACTAACAGCACTTGTTGAGGAAAGAAGTGATTTTCAACTTCCATTCTACGATCGCCATCCCAGCCTACAGCAGCAGCATCAATGCGAGACACTTAGCACCTTCCAGTACCTCACAAGCATACTGGGCGAGGACGAGGGACCCTTGGAGGCCACTAGTTATGGGGTCATGACTGCTGCGCATATTGAAAGTCGCACATGTCTGTCCCTCAGTCTGAAAGGCGGGGCTAGCCGTCAGTGAAGACAGGCGCGGCACTCAATTCTGGAGGCAACCCTCATTCAAGGAAGGGGCAACCAGTCTCGCACTATCAACAATTTTCAATGACAAAAGTCGTGTACAAAGCAATATAGCATTATGTGACAAAAAAGGAGCTCCACTCAGCTCACTAAGCACTGACAGGGGTCTTCCGTACGTGTATATATAACGCCTACGAGCACCTACATGTCTTTTGTAAGATCTATATAGTTAACAGAACTTATCACTACCATTCATATGCTCGTATCGGCTATCTACAAATCGTCACACATTAGCCAGGAAAGTTCCGTGTTAGACTAGGATAAGTTTAGATAGGAGAGCGGTGATCCCTGCCTGAACCTGGATTTGGACACGTTGATCCCTTGTTCTTTTGGTAGCAGGACTAGCCTGCCATCAGAGTAATCTGAAGAGCATTATGACAAAAGAAATTGTCACCTGACTACTACAATGATTCTAAGTAGCAGCCAGTCCTGCCGCATTGGTGCTCGCATCAACATGCTCGCGAGACCGAATACTGGAAGCAGCAGCAGCACAACCACCATCTATCATGACTGGATACGTCGACCGCAAGTTTGTTTATACTAGGCTGTCTGCTCAAGCAGGATTAACATGTGAGAAACGAAGCCGCGGGAAAACAGACGATGAACGAGCCAAATTACGCGGAAGAAGTTGCACAGCCCGCCCGCTGTGATCGATGCACAACTCAATAACAACGCTGCCAAGTCTCTGGCATCATTGGAGCCTCAAAATTCCAATTTCGATGTGATCGCAGCATTGGAGGAAAACGTTATGTTTTCGCCGAACGATAAGTCCAGTGCTAAGGCAGTTCCCCAAGGACCTTATGCAAACAACCCAGCTTTCCCCAGGACCAGGACGGAAGAGAAGATCATGGTGGAACGTCGTCACGTAGGTCGACAGAAGCGACAAAACTTAGAGTCAACACAGTATCAACAGCTGCTCAAGCAATACAATCAGCACATGGAGATTCAAGCTAGCGGCCGACATGAGCAAAGCAGCTCTCTCCGAAAAATCTTTGTCTCCTGAGTCTATTCTCGAGGGCATGCCCTGCCTTGAATTCGGACAACGGCTAAATGATACTTTGTCAATTTCTTATCGCTAGGCTTCTGACAAGTGGATCAGGAAGAATTGCAGACGCTGTCGGCATCCTTCAGTCTCTTAATGAATGTCTTAATGGCACCTAGCTTGCGCCCATGTCTCGCCGCGGGGCATGTCTTGTTTCGTATTTGCGCTTCAGGACACTAGCACCTACCGATAGATCAGAAGTGGTAGCAAACTGGAGGAATACGATTTCCCCCACGGTGCTGCTGCCGTCTCTGCACAATCACGTTCTCATCCTGCGATACTCCGCCGCTTATTCACGATCAGCTTCAGACATCCGACGCAGCAGGTTCAACCCAGCCAGAAGACGCAGTTCTGGGTAGGTAGAAGGTTGTGGTATGCATCGGGCTATTGATACATTTCTTTTTGTTTTAAGACCTTTGGCTACAGTCTTGGCAATTCCGAATACAATCTTCTGATCCTAATAAGGGTAGTTCCGGTTTTGAACCGCTTCGCAATGGGTTCGCCACAGAGTAGCGAGACCGAGACCGAGACCGACCTGACATATTCATTCATATAAGTTGCCTTGAATGGTCCACGCCCGGTGCTGTTTTCTTCTTCATTTGATACATCCTTTCAGTCTAGTCCCTGGTAAGTAATGAGAGATGACACAGGCTTGAGGTGCCTTCAATGGCTTATCCGTGGGATCCAACTTGGCTCTAGTGCGCTTCTGCTTGCAGTCTACTCGTATTTCTTGGCAACATTAGCCGCACATGGATTTAAGATACACACCGACATTCGAGCTGTCGAAGGGATTGCTGGGAGCGCTGTACTATATACTCTTTTAGGCGTCCTTCTGATCTGCTGCATGGGCGAGTTTCACTTGGCATCCGCTATAGCTATGGTCTCAGACATGGCCTTCATGGCTGCATTCATCTACTTAGCTGTTGCCAACAAGGATGGGGTCGGCAGCTGTCGTGGTGAAGTTGATACTCCCTACGGCCGCGGGCTAGCTAAGACTAAAGTCAAGGGGAGGAAGAGAGGCTCTTTGGCATTGCCTACTTATGGAGTAGCATGTAAGTTGCAAAAGGCTTGCTTGGCTGCTGCTATCATTGCGATGTGCGTGTCTGCTCCGTTATATCGGCATGGTCCCCGTATTATCACAAACGGCTAACTGTTGTCCAAAGAATATTATTTATCTTCTCAATAAGCATCAACTTTTCTCTCTCACGGTTTCATTACAAGAAGAAACGAGATAATAATAAGCATTATGGATACGGATTTGCGGAAAGGAGCCTCTTTCTAAGACCTCAGATCGGTTCACCACATGGAGCTCACGATGATCTTCCCAATCACGTCTTTCGGAGCGAAGTCAACACGTCTCCGAGGCAGTCGTTCGATCAAAATGTAGGAACATATGATGTTTTTGAACCGAGTGTCAATATGGTCATTCGTAAAGAAAATACCGAGTTTAGACGCCAGGACTGTCAACCTCTATACCCAGTTTGACACAACTTCCTAAATAGAAAATGTAAATTCTAGAAATAGACTCCAAGGCCTATTTGTATTGCATGGAAAGTATCGATGTCTTGATACCCATCATCTCCCCATAGTAGCATATCCCGCGGTAGAGCGAAAGAAATAATTTGTATTCCTTCTTTGCTATTGATGTCAAAGAGAAATGGAGCTTTCGAATCGCATACCACGCGACGGAATACCTACTCTATCTCCTTATCTCACAGACAGAAATTTGTACTAATCGAGGATAAGAAAAGAGTAGGAGTATTTAGTCAATAGTGTGACAAATAAAGATTATTAGTAAGGAGTGATTACCATCGTGACAATGAAAATGAAGCCTTAGAAGATAGCCAAGAGCCAAGTCGGCAACGAATTGACAGATCTCACGAGATGGAATTTAAGCGTCTTGGATTTGAGAATATAAGGATGGGTTGCAGCGTATTGTGGATTTGACACGATCTGGGAGGCAGGGAATGGGGCACTTGGTGAGGATCGAATTTTCTCACACTATACATGTAGATGCTTGGGTCCCAATGGACTCACGGTGTGCTTGTTCCGTATTCTGAAAATGGAGCCCTTTCCTTAGGTTGTCCCAATGGCAGTAGAGTCAGGCATACCGTGTTGAATAGCGGCATTGTGCTCTGCTTTCGCCCATCGATCCAACCCGTTTTTGTCAAGATTCGCACATGCGACTACCTCGAGAGCAGAGGGTCTTCCTATATGCCCTATACGTCGTCATCGTCTAGTGAACACTACTAGGGAATACCTGGCCTTTATAGTAGAGGATATACTAAAGCTATTTTGATATTTTGTATAGGGTATATAGACGAAAAATAAACAACTAGGGGGTAGATATCTTTCTAAAATAAGAGATAGAAATCTTTTAGTTTTTATATAAGAAAACTATTAAATTAGAATCTATAGGAATGAGCGCGGCGTCATTGATGGTTACCCACAAACTCTAGAGATTGAAGAAGTATTTACTGATATGTGTTATCGCAGGGTTAGGTCAGACGTATTGGACTGCCATGAAGAATAACCCGACCGTTGAGCGGCACGCGCTCTTCGGCACCGATGGCCGAGACGTGCTATCATCTCAGGAACTAATATGAGAAACTCGCCCAGCTGGTTCATTCTCTATACTAACTCGAGCAATATTCTGATTAGTGATATGAATTTGCATGTGTATAGCCCTAATGCCGGTGCCCCGGCGAAGGTAAGAAGCCATATTCACAGGACCTATTATTGCTCAGCGGGCTCACCGTGTCCAAAAACACCGACGGCTTTGACACCTACCGTAGTTCAAGCATCGTCGTGCAAGACTCAGTTGTGGTAAACAGATGGTACGTTCCCATGCGCAATATATTTCTGACGCGCGTTAATGAGGACGCAAAAATTGCGTATCCTTAAGCCCAATACAACCTCCATGGTTGTCCAGAATCTCTCCTGCACGGGATCACATGGCATATCCGTTGGCAGTCTTGGCCAGTACGAAGGGGAAGTCGACATTGTTGAAGACATCTACGTCTGTAACGTATCAATACTTAATTCCATTGATGGCAGCAGAATCAAAGTATGGCCAGGTAGCCCAGCGGGAAGCGGCTCGTCAAGCGGAGGTGGAGAAGGTCTTGTTGAAAACATTACGTACGAATTTCTATGCGCCACCAATAACGATCGTTACTCCCGCCCAATTATCTGTTTGACATCCGTCAGACTGCGAGAGTCGCACTCATTCTAGGCAACTCCTATAGAACTCATTGCTCTGACCCAGTGCTATGGGGCTAAGAATCAGACTAAGTGCAACGAATATCCAGTGAGTGAAGAGTTCCCATTCTGAGCCACGTTAGATGGCCTGTGACGGGCCAGGACAACAAGTACTAGAAGAAAGTTCGGATTTGTATCGTCGTAATCCTCCCTGCTTATACAAGATGTCGTGTTCAAAGACTTCTCTGGCTTAATGTCTAACAAATATGACATGAAAGCAGCTGGTTAGTTTTTGGACTTACTCCTTTGGACACCGGTAGCGCTACCGTCGACTGCTGTAGCAGCAGTATAGGCAGCGGCATTATCATAAGATGTGCCCTCCCAAGGCTCTGTTCCGTCACCCCAATAGCGGAAGGTGCATGTTGCAGGATCGAATGTTTGGAATAGAGGGCTAAAAACAGGATCCATAAAGCCGCCGACGAAAATATGGACACCCTTGACATTCTTTTTTGCTTCAAGATATGCCTTGACATGTATCATTGGGTCCTTAGGGAAAAGCTCTCCAATTTCAAGCTTTGTGTAATCCAAGCACCAGTCGCTGGCGACGTATCGTGCCACACCCTCTGCTTCGCATGCATCGATTAACGCTTTTTGCCCGTCAACCATGAGCTTATCGTCACCTAGATATGAGCAGATAACGACATCACAGCCCTTGGCAAAGGCGTGGACTTTATCCTCCTCGAATGGACTACCCTGGAAGATTTGGACCTTGGGAGCCGAAGTAATGGATGGGATGACTTTACTAGGATCCCGAGCATATCCTCGAAGGATCACATTGGGGTTCTTGATGAGATGAGTGGCAAGCAAGCGACCAAAATTCCCGGTGATTCCGGCCAAACCCACAGTGACAGCCATATTATTTCTGTTTTGATTCGATCCAATGAGAGATTTCTCTATTTCAGTACTGTTGTAGCACTTGATGTTTAACTCGAATGATATTGAGGTCGAAGGTCGCTGCAGTGGTCATATATATATGTATATGTATATTCTGCATGGAACAAAGCTCTCGACACTGATCAAATATCCCGCCGTCCGTCCTGTGGGGCCGTTGTGGCGGACAATTGGCCGTGGAAAGCGCCTGCCGGGGTCGCCACACGGTGTCCGAATTTGTCCGGACAAAATTTGTCTCGGAGGTAGGTGGAGCATCAGTAAACATGTAGCATCTACTCGTTTCAACAGTCTTTGAAATCAGAGAAACAAACAACAAATTTCAAATCACTTTTGATTCAATTGAATTGCGGCCGTGTCGCCTGATTCATGTACGACACAATACCGCGGTCCGTTCTGCAGCCCCATTGCCACCCACTATAGCCATTCCTCTTGCATCGTATTACAAATTACTCAGACCTCTTCATCTCTTATGGATCCCCAAATCAGCGCCCCATTGCTGAGAAATTCGGTGCCGTCAATGTTACACGAGCTCTCTGGCCGGTTCACAGTGTTTATTGTAATCGCACAATCCGACTCCTAACCAGCTCGCTGATGTTATGAAACTAACCGCAGATTAATTCTTTCTCTTTAAATGAGGTGGTGTATGAACGGCAAATCCTGACTGCCCGACAGCTTGTCATACTTTCGAACCAGATGCGAGGATCACGATTTGTTCTCCACAAGCTACCCCAAAGCATCACAAGACCATGCCTAGCAGACCTCATACCTAAACAATGGACTAAAGCTCCCATAGTTTTCTCGAAGACTGCAAAATAGGATGGAAAAGAGACTTCTCAGCAGAGAAATCGCGCATGAACGTTGACCCATGGAGACTTATAATACAGGGTTCCAAACCCAGGATCTATATACTCAATAACTCTACCATCAATGCTTCAGGATACATATGCTGCAGAGCATTCAGGTGATCAATGTTGTTAGGCCTAGGTTTGGTGTGACTGTCACTACAAATGTATCTTAGTTTCCCGTAGCTCATACCTACTTTAAAAGTTACAGCTCTTCGGCAGAGAGTAGATAATAGATGCTGGCAGAATCATTATATCCTTATAGCTATGGAGTAAGTAGTAATCGTGACTGTCTAGAAGGCATTTCGGGGCTTGTAGAGCTGAAATGATCGCCATAATTATTAAAAGACTTGAGGAAAATATCGCCCCCGGTTTGGATGGATGCGTGGAGATAGTGGGAGCAACCATGGTTTCTTGGGGTTCTCAGGGGTTGTCGGTGAACAGCCACGATGATGGAGTAAGAATGGCTAGCAAATCAGCACGGAAGGCCACCAGACTACTAATTCGTTAGTCTAGTAGTACGCATTAATATACTTAGCGCACGTCGTTGACCTGCACCCCGGAATGTCACAGACGAATTAGGTGCATTGAGGTAGGAACTAGTGTTGCAACACTTAACGCCTCTTAGACATGCGAATGGTGGGCTCACTGTTGCTAAGACTTAAGGATACAATGCAACATGACCACACTCTGATACTGGCACCGATCGAGTCTAGGTTCATATTCTAACATCTCTTTCTTGGAAATTGCTCTTGCTTGCCCAGCATCTCACGAATTTCTTGTTACAATACCCACTAGACTTTGATAAAATACCATGTCTATTCCCAAGACCATTCGTTGGGGCATTCTCTCTACTGGTGCCATTGTACTGACATTTTGACCCATTCCCTTCTACATCAACTAGTTAGGTGCGATATACTTGTTTACGATATTTAGTACCAAAGACCTCTTGCTAAGCCACAGCACTCGGGGAGTTACAAACCTCAAGCACACTGTCGTGGCAGCGGCAGCCTCTTCCGATAGATCGAAAGCAGAATCGTTCCTACGCCAAGTCGGCGCGCCACCTTCTGCTCGCGCTTATGGATCTTACGCGGAGCTTGCTAATGACCCTGATGGCGATATTTAATATATCGCTACACCTCATTCGCATCACTACCAGAACGCCATGATGTGCCTCGAGGCCGGTAAAAACGTCTTATGCGAGAAGTCGTTTACTGTCAACGCCCAGCAAGCACGAAAGCTGGTTGATAAGGCCCACTCCAAGCGGTGTTTCCTCATGGAAGCGACAAGATACTTTCCATTAGCGTCGTATGTACGCGAGCTGATCACAACGAACCAGAATCGGAACAGTTGCAAGAGTTATGACGGACTGTAGCCTAGCCCTCAACCCAGAGGAATCGTTTAGCACCGGGGAGCATAGAATGGTCAACCTAAACCTGGTGGCGCCCTTCTCGACCTGGGTATCTACAGCTTGGCTTGGCCATTTCTAGCTCTGTTTCATTGCCAGTCGCCCCAGAGTCGCAAAGCACCCAAATTCCTTGCGACAATGATAATGGTTTGTCTATTCGTGTGATTCCGGAATCTACATTGATGTATCCCCTTTCGTCCCGGTTGCTCACGCTTTCCTACACCTAGTACGCGCCAAATCAGGCCGCAGACGAAGCAACAACGATCCTCTTATCGTTTCCACGATCTGAATCAGCGGGTGGTGAAGCTCATGCCGTGGCCACATCTTCAATTCGGGTCGAGACTGCATCACGTGTCGATCCCAGTCCTCCCCCTACAGTGCGAATTCAGGTGTCGTTGGGGGAGATCCAATTGTTCCCTTGTGCTCTTAATCCAAACGAATCAAAACTCCTCTTTTGGGATGGCACCGTGGAGGAGAAAGATTGGCCTAAGCCAGGTCCCGGCAAAGGGTCAGGCTGGTACAACGGGTTTGCAGGTAATGCCAACCCAGAGGGTGAGGGGCAGGGTATGTTCTGGGAAGCGGATGAGGCCGACCTTGCCCTTATCGAAGGGAGGAAGGAGGGCAAGTACCTGGGACTTGAGAAGACAGTTCTCATTATGGAGGTCATGGACTAAGCCAGGCGGCAAGGCGGACTAGTCTATCCCCCGAAAATATTGAGACTATCGAGTATCCCACCCAGCTTTGACTAGCATAATCTCCAGGTAATTTCTGTCTGAAAGACGAGAAAAGCTTTGAGGCCTTTCCCATTTCCAATGGCTCTCTGTATGTGGCTTCCATGCATACTCACTTTACGAGCAAATCTTGACTCAAATACGACTAAATGTTGAGGGAATTATAGTAAATCACTCCGATAATAGCCAAGCAAAGCTCTTCATAAATATGCGCCATGTCGACAATTTTCATTAGCCAGTAAGTCTCAGCAGACATCAGCAAGAAGTTGCAAGGGAGTTAGAAACGTGGTACAGTTCAGCAGGGCCACTCTCCTACGCAACAGTCTTGCAAAAGGAGGCCAGGATCAGCAATAGACTTGTAGACGACCTGTAGACAATCCCTATGCTTGAACTAGCAAAGTTGGTAACTCTGTATGTAGTCTTGGCCTATCCGCTTAGTCCCAGTACCAGGGCTCTACGCGCAACACTCCGCTAAACATGCTTCTAAGCTGCGGGCTCTGGACGGAAATGAAACAAGCAGTGACATTCGGGTCGGCGTCCGCTTCGCACCGAAAATGGGTCTCGCCAGACCTGCGCTTGCTAATCTTCCATTTGCTCGTGTACACTGTACATGCAGCGCTAGTCATTTTTACTTAGAATGAGAGCATATTACTCGTATATTTAAGCAATCAACGTTACGTCTGATTGGCACTTTCTGTCATGAATATAGCTTGCTTCATATTCTTGAAGTTCTGCAAAACAAGAAATACAAAAGGTCTAGATCTTGCGACTCTCGTTACCAGAAAAGACGGCAAGTACAATCGATTGTCTGAGCTCTATTTCTTGACAAACTATGTCTCGAGCGCTTCTGATCACCGGCGCCACAGGTAAGCAAGGAGGCGCCGTTGTCAGAGCTCTTGCCGCCAAAGCCGACTTCCAAATCCTTGCTGTTACTCGAGACCTTTCCTCCCAGTCAGCACAGCGCCTGGCCAAGTTCCCGAACATCAAACTAGTCACAGGCAACCTTGACGACTGCGGTGAGATTTTCAAGGCTGCGAAAACTGTCAGCGATGAACCTATCTGGGGCGTTTACAGCGTGCAGGTAAGAACAGCTGGTGTACTGTATTGTTCCCGACTAGCCAATGTTTCAAGATCCCCGCCTTCAACAGTAAAGGTCCCATTATTGAAGAGAAGCAGGGAAAAGCACTGATCGACGCGGCTCTTAGGAATGGCACTAGGCATTTTGTGTATTCCTCAGTCGACAGTGGTGGCCCTCGATCAATTGAAAACCCGACCGACATCCCACATTTTGTCAGCAAACATCGCATTGAACAACACTTGATTAGTAGCTCTAAAGGCACTAATATGGGTTGGACAATTCTACGACCTGCAGCTTTCATGGAGAACTTCGACGGTGGTTTCGTTGGCAAGGTCTTTGCTACCAGTTGGAAGCTTGTTGTTCGAAGACCTCTTCGACTCATTGCGACAGATAATTGGGGTCTTCGGTGCTAAGGCCCTTATGGATCCAGAGACATATAAAGGAGAAGCTATTTCTCTTGCTGGGGATGAGTTAAAGTACGACGACATGGTTACAATCTTCAAGGAGAAGACTGGGTCGCCGCCACCTTCAACCTTTAATTTGATGGCCAGATTTAACCTACGAGAGAGTCAAGACCAGCAGCAAGTCACAAGTCACAAGTCACAATACTGTCACGGGAGACGCGCGTGTGTATGGTATCACCACTCAATTTCCTTCTCGCGTCATGAGATGCGATGCTACGAAGGCTGTATCTGTATGTAGCGTAGTGTAGTGTAGTGGTGGGTTCGGTACATGTACAACGGACAGGAGCACCCTCCTCCTGCGGCCATGGAGGAGAGCGCCCTGCGGAACAGCTTCCGGCCAATCTGGCAAGAACGACGCAACACGTCGCCCGGCTGGGGCCGTCGTGCTTTCCCGCGGAGGCCTCAGCCCCCTTGGGAAGTGACGGAACCCCCAGACCGTTCGCGCGAAGAGAACGCTCTGCTGAGCCTACTTGAGGATGTTGCGGCCAATCTGGCAAGAACGACGCAACACGTCGCCCGGCTGGGGCCGTCGTGATTTCCCGCGGAGACCTCGGTCCCCTTGGCAAGTGACGGAACCCCCAGACCGTTCGCGCGAAGAGAACGTTCTGCTGAGCCCCTCGAACTATGTTACATGATGATCACACAGACCCATCACGGGTTGTTTGTACAGCTCCTCCTCCTTCCCTCCTTCCTTGCCAACGCCGTCCAACAGTGTACAAGTACACGTCCCTTCGGGTTGCGTGCCGCGGGACGCCTTGCGAATCCCTGCTCCTTCCTCCGACTGTTCCTGCACAGCACCGCCTCTGTCGATGTGGTCGTCGTCCGTCTTTCGCCTCTTGCATTCACTCGTGTTGTGGTCGTGGGCATCCTCCGGCATGCTTCTCTTGTGGCTGCCGCCGGGTTGTACTGGAGTGGGAGGAGCAGGTGGAAGTGGTAACAGGCTCTTGAGCTGCGACATCACATTCTGGATGATGTCTATCTGTGGGCACGCGAGTTGTAGGCTGCTTGGGTACTCGGACGGAGGCGGCGGCGGGATCTGTTGCGGGTCTGGCTTGTGGTTGGTAATGTTCATGAGGCCCGAGAAGCAGGGCCGGTCTTGTGCTGCTTGCTCCGCCTTACAGAAAAGAAGCTTGAGAGTGTAGTAGGCGTCGCTGCCTGCATTGTGAATGTCGTTTACGTTGTGCGGGACGCGGTAATGTAGGAGGAGCTTGGCCATGGTCTTGCCACCGTTGAGATAAGCCGCAAGGCCCCCCAGACCCTCCCAGACGCGTTGCGTATCAAACACAAAAATATTGTCGGGCGGTGCCCAGTTGGCAACCTCTTTCAAGAGAGTCAAGTCGCCCGAAATACTATGACCGCAGAGAACCACCACCTCGTAGTTGGCGACAAGGTCAGAAAAGTGTTGGTCGAGAATGGGGAGGAGGTCTCCCTCTGTGCGAAGGCTTTCGGACTTGCCGAAGGGAAATGACTTTGTGGAACGTTTCCTGAGACCCATAGTACTGTTCACGGTGTAATGATGGCTGGCAACTGGACCTATCGCGGGCTGAGTCGCAATGCCTAATTCATAAATGGCGCGTGTGTCTGGTTGGAACTCGGTGTCGAGCGAGGTGAAGACGATGGGTGCCGTGTGGCGGTTTTTCCAGAGAACACCTAAGTAAGATGCCTCCAGGCGCCTGCCATGTATGGCAGTCTCAGCCTTGGTCTCAGCCTTTGTTTTGGCGTTGTTGACCGCGGGGTTTGAGGGGGCTCCAGCCTTTCGCGTCATGATGACAAGACGAGACTGTCTGAGAAATGGATGAGAAACATTGTCAATTGAATCGGGGTTGGCGAGTGTACTTACATGGAAGGGAAGGGCCTGATGCGACGTGATGTGATGAGGCGCGATGCGACGCGACGAGATGCGAAGCGATGAGGTGGGCCGCGATGCGACAGTCATCAGGTGTTTTGCGCTGGAGATGAACGGAAAGAAGCGAGCCGAAGCGCGCGCTCTGCGTAGTTGAGCCGAAGCTTCATCTGTGGGATGATATTAGAGATATGATGATGGAGATGGATGAGTTGATTGTGTGGTTTGTGAAAATGTGTTGTGGGTTGTGGGAGGAAGAAGTGTGGAGGGGAGGAAAGGATGGAGGAGAAGAAGAAGGGTGGGGAGGGGGAAAAAGTGTGGAGGGGCAGCAAGGCGGGGAAGAGGGGCAGATGGGGCAGAGGGGCAGCGGGTCAAAGTGGGGCAGAGGGGCAGAGACAGAGGGGCAAAGTAGGGTAACACCTGGAAGCTGGAAGGGAAGAAGCTGCAGTCAAGGAGCTTGAGAAAGCAGCTGTAACGAAGGTGCTTGAAGGGAAAGGAATGGAGGAGCAGGAATCTGGGAAATCGTGCCGTATCTTACCTTCTTCAGAAGCGTGGCTTCGCTGTAGAAATCATGTGTTGGGTCTGGAGTGCGACCGATGGCGTGGAATACTGCAATGAACGCGCGATCAATGGGAGGAAGAGAAGATAAAATGACGAAAGCGGAGGTAGTGATGAAGAATTTCGTGGTGATTGTAGGTAGTGGTTATGGTTGTTAGGAAGGTGGAAGGATATCCCGATGAGAGAAGAGATGAGGTAAGGTAGGTAAGGTAGGTAGGTAAGGTAGGAGGATGGCGGATGACGTAGCACCTCAAGGCAGAAAAAATGTGATAAAATCACACAGCAGAAGGAGGGGAAGTGGCGCGGCGCAAAATGAAGGAGAAGAGGTGGACGAGAGAGGACTGGAAAGGAAAGGAATTTATCTTACCTTTGGACGAGGCGACTTGCGCCTGGTACGATATAATGAAGCAGAGAGGACGAGAGAAGAGAAGAGAGGAGATGAGAGGGAGACCTGCTCTCTCTCAAAAGGGTCGGTGTGGACGATGTGGCCGAAGTCCTCGGTTTTGGTTTTTTGTTGTTGGTGGAAGAAGGATGGAGAGGAGACGGAAAGGTTCGGTTGTTTAAGTAGGTTTTGGAAGAAGGTGGGTAGGTTGGTCGTGGGTGGGATGAGGTTAGTCCGGAAAACCGGAAAATTTTAAATCCAGCCCAGGGTGACTCGCAAAGGAGGAGGCTGGTGTCCAGGCAGCGATGTTAAAAAATGGCCCGATGATACCGAGAGCGAGAGTGCCGGGCGGTGGAGGGACGAGTGTCGAAAATGGAGAAGGATGGCGTTGATTTGGTCAAGCCAGCATCGCGTGCGCCGCGCGCTGTGGCATGCGTAGACAAGCAGATGAGCAAGGAAATGACTCTCAAGGCGCCTCTTTTTCATATACGAGGATATGAAAGAAAGGAAGAAGGTAGGCGGAAGGGAGATGGGCGCGTTGATGAAGATGAGAGGAAACCAAAATTGTGTTTTTAGGAAGTGCAGAAGAGGAAGAAGTTAGAGACGGTCGGGTCGGTCTTGAATTTATGTGGATGATGAAGATCGGGAGATGGCGCTAAGCCAAAGCGGGGCACGCTAGCTGCGGATCATCCCGAGGGCCGAGGGAGGGTCCTACTATGTACTGTGCCCTACAAAAACTGGGTGCTCGGTACTTGGTACCTGCATGGTTGGTTGCAGGTGGGGTCCACGGGTGGCTCCATCTACCGTACCTGCATATGCACTGTACTGTATCTAGATCGTCTTATCTTATCTTATCTTATCTTATTACCGTCCGGCTGCTCCCCACTCCACAGGCTTCCCTATCTCAGCTAAATGTTTGGCTTCTACGATTCGGGCGTGTATGATGCATCACACCATAGCAGGCAGCCTCTCATCTGTAGCAGCAAAGTGTATTGATTCACACATCAAAGCATTACTCTATGGTACTGGTTCTTATTGAGCGTATTTGTGTGGTGTGCGTGTGCGCATGTGTGCTGACCAACTTCTCCCGGTACCATTAAAGGTATACACACTACGCCCTGTAAAATTCATTACTGCCAAGTACCACGTCTTACTGCGTAGTATAACAGTCTCATACACTCTTACAACCATCCCGACAATTACCATCAGTGAATTGTATGAACACAACGCGGTAATTATATATTCCATG